TCAGTGAAGAGCTTGAACAGAGCCACCTTCTGCAAGTTCGTGAAGCCCTCGGCATTCGCGTGACCCCCCGGCAGAGGTTGAAACTCTGGAAGAACAAATCCAGGCTGGGGGTCACCCCTCGGGACCGGCAAAGGTTCAGAAAGCCCGCCACGTATGAGTGGCTGTTGGGCATCAGTTGGCAGGGGACCAAACCCACGTACCTGAGGTACTCCCGAATGAATGGGTGCAGGGGGAACTGGAGACCCATTGAAACTGATAGGATGTGGACGGCGATGCAACCCTCGGGAGCCCGGGAGAGCATATCATCAGGACTTGACGCCACCACTACGGCCGAAGGCCCCACATGCAACTGAGTGACGTAGAAATCCGCCTCATCAGCCTTCGACCTTATCTCGAGGGCGGCGGTATTCAAGTAGGAGTACCCCTCAGGCATGTCGACGGGTTTCCTTTGGTCTGCAACGCTGCCCTTCTTCTTGGAAGCGGCACCCTTCGTCTTCTTCTTCCCGGGGGCCATCCGGAGAGCGACCGCGTTCAATGGCCGAGAGGTGCTGGCCTCACCAGCATCACGAGGGGGAAGAACAACGACGGTGACCCTCACATCCTCGCATTCTTGTTCGAAGCCCTCGGCTTCCACCTCGGCGACGAGGGCTCTCTGCAGCTCCATCGCTATGGCGGCATCATGTCCCACTGAGGGCTGCTCACTTGTGGACTCCACGTCAGAAACGTTTTCCTCCTCCATCGAGGGCTCCCTCGAGATATCTTGAGAGTCGCTTTGTGAAGACATTGTTTGTACTAACTCAAGGGTTAGGAAACACTAAGGGTTCTAAGCTACAACCCCTAAAACTAAGGCCACAACGCACAGCTAGCTAAGAAGGGTAAGGAACAAGTGGGGGAACTGACCTTGGAACAAGAGTTGATCGAGGGCAGATGTTTCTCTCTCTAGAAAATTTGGCAGAGCTCCGCTAACAAACAATGATCGCACAAGAGGAAAGTCCTCTGGCTTTGGGTATTTATAGGCACCACAGATCCGGGCTTGGGCCGGAAACCGGGCCTCCGGTTGAAAAGCCATCATTACGAACCGTCGAATTGCCCAATCGGTGACACCCGCCCACAGGCAGCCAACGAACACACACCACGTGGAGCCCCCCCCCCAACGGCTATATTTCTGACGTTAGGTATTCCAACGGCTCTATTTACAACGGCTATATTCTGGGAGCTCCCGGCTATATTCGGCAGACCACTCCTTCATCAGCCAAGAAACTAGCCCCGGGGCTTTCTCCTTCACTCCACTTCATCAAGAGGAGCTCCCGGGTACACTCACCCAGAGATGCTCCCGGCGTAGGCCCTCATACTGTGTCACGAATGCCTTCGGGCTCACTCCTCCAGAAGCCCACGACCATGCAACAAGGAACCCCTCGGGGCACCACAACACCCCACTTGTAAATAAACAAGGGACCCCTCGGCAACACCGGAAATATGATCCACATTCATCGCGCCCTCATTCTCATAATTTGAGGGCTCCCCCTTCGGCATCTCTCAAGATTACAACAGTAAACCTTCGGCAAATCAACACACGCGCCTTCAGACATGGATAGCCTTCGGCAGGAATACTGTCACTCATTTCAAATCAGGGTTTTACCTTTTCGACTCATCATTGGGGGAATTCGGTGCACTCTTTTTCCCTCATTGGAATTTTTCCCCACAGGGTTTTTCCAATGAGGTTTTTAACGAGGCATCCCCCCAAAATGAAACGAAAAGCGTCACCCCTCGACTTTATATTGCAGGCAGGCACTACACTACTCCTTTTCACCACTTTGCAAGTGCCTCAAGGAGTGGGGGACTGGAGGATCCCTTCGGGAAAATCCCAAAATACAAAAAATGTCAAAAACTCCCACAAAGAACGAGCATGATCCCTCAAGTCCCGGAATGTGGGTAACTGAGGGAGTGCCCCTGGCTGAAACATGCACACAACAAACTACTCACAAACTCCACAAACTACAACGGAACAACACCAAAAGGACAAGCACAGATTACTCCTTTTCCCTCAAGTATCTTTCGGCAAAAGGAGCGAGGGACTCCTGATGGAGTATATGGTCTAGGAACTCCCGGCCCATAGACTCCTACTATTCGGATAAAGGCCCAATAGGCCCAGGGGGCACAGCAGGTCCAAAACACAGCGCCCCAAGTACTGAGCAACCCACGCAGCACACTGGGAGTGCCTTCGGCCCCCTGGCCGAAGGCTCCAAATTCTCACAGGACGGGTAGCTCAAGCACACAAGGTTACTGGGAGAAAACGGCGAAAATCAGTAGCCTTCGGCACCTAGAGCCCTCGACATTAAGGGGGTCCCTGGTACTCAGAGCCCTTGGCTAATCACCTGCAGTCGAGGGCACCTTTCTCGACATAATATCCACTCCACATGCGCCTGAATCACCGTACCAAGTACGACGTCACATCCAACAGCCGCATTAAATGCGGCCACATGCGATTGCCAGCGCCAACCGGTTGATGTGACTCCTCGGCCAATGGATGCTTGACACGTGTCCCTATCTGGCATTTATTACTACTATAAATAGCACCCCATTTCCCCATTTGTAACCAGAAGCAAAATACGCTTAATACATATCGAATATACACTCTCTCTCTCTTACTTATTTGCTCTGACTTCTCTCTAGTTATTCTCCGCAATAACCCCTCGGATAAGCTACCCCCGGGTACACTATCCATCAATTATTATTATTATTATTATTATTATTATTATTATTATTATTATTATTATTATTATTATTATTATTATTATTATTATTATTATTATTATTATTATTATTATTATTATTATTATTATTATTATTAGAGAAATGGTGCTAAATAAGAGCTTAACTTCCCGTATGTAATTAAATAAGACCTTGACTTTTTTAACTCCTAAATAAGACCAAATTTTTCCGTGTTTCCAAAATTGCCCCTGTTTTCCTAACGCACCATATCTCTCGGCAATAGCCTCGCCTAATCGTCTCTCTCCTTCCTCCACAGCTAAGCAAGGCAGCGCACCGTCAAAATAATGGAGGTGCTGAGCTAAAATGGAGTTGCAGCGGTGCGGTAGTATTTTTGGTGCGGCGGTGTGGAGGTGCGACGGTGCGGCGGTGCGACGGTGTGGTTGAAGGCCCTGCTGCGTAACCTGTGTTCTCTCTTCTCCTCTCCTCCTCTTCCTCCTTCTTCTTATTCTTCCTCCCCCTCCTCTTCTTCTTCTTTTTCTCCTCTTCTACTTCAAACTATTTGATAGTGCTCTGTACATACGAACAAACTGAAAGCAAAGAAATAAGGAATGTATTTTATTGTCATTGACATTCGTATGACATTCTTATGACATTGTCATTAACATTATTATGACATTGTCATTGACATTCTTATGACATTGTCATTGTCATTGTTTTTTATTGACATTCTTATGACATTGTCATTGACATTCTTATGACATTGTCATTAACATTCTTATGACATTGTCATTGACATTGTTTTTTATTAACATTCTTATGACATTGTCATTGACATTCTTATGACATTATCATTGACATTGTTTTTTATTGACATTGCTACAACATTGACATTGTTAAGACATTGACATTGTTAAGACATTCTGATGAGTTTCACTTTATTTTGATAATATTTAAAGTATAGTGACATACATAGTGTCATTATTTCACCATTTTAACATGTTTTGACGTTCCTTCAACAGCTTCCATTGGAGTCATAAACATACTCCTGGAGTAATTCTTCTCATGGAAGAGGAAGGCCATTGGAGAACACCGACAATAATTCTTCTTGTCGGTGCCCACTAGAGATTGCGGTTTTCACTGCCGGTGTGCCGCAGCCCGCCACCTGAGTGGCCTGCCGCTGGTGGTTTCCGGAGTAGTCGACGAGCCCCGTTCTTCTTTTCTTTCTTCGATCTCAGCTCTTTTCTTCTGCCGATCTCAGCTCGATCTTATATCGCTCCTTCGCATATTGTGCTCCAGAACATAAGATTCGCATATTGTGCTCCGTATGATGGCAGAATGGCAGCAAGTAAGATTTGCAGGCAGCATCATTTTTAGGGGTATTTTTGTCCTTCCGTAAAAAATTAGTCTTATTTAGGTCTTAAAAAGTTCGAACTCTTATTTACGTTCCTAAGCTTTGTTTTACTCATATTCAAGTTTTTTTCCCTTATTATTATTATTATTATTGTTGTTGTTGTTGTTGTTGTTGTTATTGTTATTGTTATTGTTATTATTATTGTTATAATTATCGTTATACTTATTAAATAATTATAATTATAATAATAATAGTTATTAATAAAGGGTATTTAATCACTTATTATTATTATTATTATTATATTATTACTATTACTATTATTGTTTTTATTAAATAATTATAATTATAATAATAATAGTTATTGTTATTATTATTTAATTATTATAATTATTATTGATATTATTATTATTATTATTATTACTATTATTATTATTATATACCGGTTTAGAAAGTTAAGATCAGATAAGAAGGATTCAGACCAGATCAGATCAGAAACATTCAGATCAGATCAGACAGATTCAGGTCAAATCAGACCAGAAAGATTCAGATTAGATCAGATCAGAAAGATTCAGATCATATCAGATCAGATTTGAAAATTTTAGATCAGATCAAATCTTAAAAAGTTCAGATCAGAATCATTCAGATCAGACGAAGAGAAAATCTTCTTAATCGGATGTTATTTTAGTTTGTGAACTTAATTGACTTTTTAAACATACTACTAGGGTATGATAAAAAAAACATACTACTAGGATCAATTTGATAGTTTTCCTAAATAATTAACTAGTATTCCGTATATAATATAGAGAGTACTAAATAATTACTTCTTATTATAGATGCAAGGATGTTTTCTTTTGGACTGAAGTTTTATAATCTAATCTGATTTGGTCTGCTTAAGTCTGGTCTAATCTGATCTGATTTCGTTTGCTTGGTCTAGAAACTGAAACCATTCCAAAAGTAAACATCCTAAAACGACAGTGGACTGGAGAGTGCAGCGAGCCAATATCATAATCGTCATTCAATTTAGGTTTGAAACTTTCAGAACCGAATAGCTGAACTCACGGATTGCGGATTGGTGATTTGGAAAATAAGCACCGATTGAGCCTTTGCTGTTTTCCTCTTGCGACTTGTGGACCTGCGGTCCTCTCTTGCGAGTTCTGCCTCTAAGGCACCAACTGGTATGTTTTCTTCTTTGACAAATATTTACGGAGTATTAGTTATTTACTTTATTATATTTGGCCCTCCTTTTTCTTATTTTTTAAGGTTTAATCAATTATGAAATTGTGTAGCCGTGTTTGAATGTAGGCAGTAGGCAAATCCCAAATAGACAAGTAGTCTAATTAATAAATTCTAAATGTATAGTGTAATAGAGATGTTAGATATGTGGTTTACTAATTGTAAGTTTTAATTATGAAAATACCGCTGAAACATACTGTCATTAATTATAATAAATACTACTATGTTAGGCCTATTTCGGGAATGAAAACATAGTAGTCCTATTTTGGAATTCCAAACTCCATTTACTCCTATTTTGGGAAATCTCCCTTATAATTATTTGCTTAATTTTTAGGTAATTTATTGTTTCATTAAGATTTATAATTTAAAATAGATAAATTTATTTATTTAATACTAATGCTCAATGAGTTTTTTTTTTGTTTTAAATAAGCGGCTGGAGGGATTCGAACCCTGGTGTGAGTACATGAATAATGACTAATTTGACGTAATCTTTTAGACTTTGACTAATACTCTTAAAGTAGGCAGTAGGTTTTTTTTATTAATATGGAGGATTTTGTATTTCTTATTTGTAACTATTTATGATATGGTTTAATAACTTTTAGGTTATCTGTGTCTATATATCAATTTTTAGCACTGCAATTTTCTTGAACTAGTGCAGTGGTATACTCAAACAAACATTTGCAAAAATAGAAAATGAAACAATTTTACAACGTTTTCAACACATGCAAACATGAGGGATACAATGTCTAAACTTGCTTCTTCTTCAAACAGTGAATAGTAGCCTAATGTATGTGTTTTGACATATAATGTAATTTTCATACTTTTATTACAATTTCAGTGTTTTGACTTTTGAGTTTTGGCTTTCTTCTTAGCCCCCTTAAATATTGTTCTGGTTCCGCCCCTGCAAGTTATTCATACTACCCTTCTAAATATCAGTCTTGGACCAAGGTTCGAACTTGAATATGAATTGTTTGGACCAAGATGAGTTGTTGGTCAGTTTTGGTTAAGTTAAATTAGTATCTCGTGGAACTTGAATATGAGTTGTATATTGCATGTCAGTTCTGGTTAAGTTAAATTAGTATATCATACACCCATTCCCGAAGTATAAATTTGTCTTTTAACCAAGATGGTTACCAGTATTAATTTTTAGTATTTAACAGTTTTTGAATGGAAACTGGGTCTTACAGTTCAACTAGTGACCCATTGGCCATTGGTACACATTGCTTCAGCTGACCCTAACACCGTCAATTACCAGTCTGAGTTTAAAATCTTGATTACTATAGACACAGGTGGGGAAAAACGCTGATCCTTATCATTGGTTCAAGAGACTTCTCATTTCTGTGACTAGCTGACTCCAGTTATATATCCAATGGCTGCTCATATGAACATGGTAAGGTTACAAAATACCATTAAGCTATAATGTAGGCAACCATCCTGAGATGAATGTACTATGATCTGCAAAAAATTCTATGAAAATTCCCAGAAATATTCTTTTATTTAGATCTGCAAGAATTTACTATGAAACTTTCAAACTGACCAGTTTTGTAAAAAAATTGCTGTTTTCCTTCAAATTTTTCTTTTCTGGAAAGTTGAATTTCCTGAGCAATTGGGATTCTTATACTTCAATTTGGATCTGTAATCTGTTAAACCGCTTAATTTTAAAGTATATGCTTTGATCAGATCTGAATAATATTTATTCTTGTTGGTAAATGAATTTTGTAATGTTCGTTTCGGTTTCCAGGAGATTGAGGATGACGATGATTATGTTGAGTATGTTCCTGTTGCAAAACGAAGGGCGCTCGAGGCACAGAAAATCCTACAGAGAAAGGGCAAATCTGCACCGTTAGAAGAGGAAACTGAAAAGAAAAAACAAGTTGAGGCAAAGCCGAGCTTACTTGTGAAGGCTACTCAGCTAAAGAAGGAAATGCCAGAGGTGAGTGTGACTGAGCAAATGGTTCAGCAAGAGAAAGAAATGATTGAGCATCTTTCTGACAGAAAGACCCTGATGTCAGTGCGTGAACTTGCAAAAGGGATTACCTACACAGAACCTATGTTCACTGGTTGGAAGCCTCCATTAGCCATCAGAAGGATAGCAAAAAGAGCTCGTGACACCATTCGTAAGCAGTGGCACATTATTGTGGATGGAGATGATATCCCTCCGCCCATTAAGAATTTTAGAGATATGAGGTTTCCGGACCCTATCCTGGACAAGCTTAAAGCTAAGGGAATTGTTCAACCGACTCCAATCCAGGTACAAGGATTGCCTGTCATCTTGTCCGGAAGAGATATGATTGGAATAGCATTTACAGGATCAGGGAAGACGCTGGTTTTTGTGTTACCGCTTATCATGGTGGCCCTGCAGGAGGAGATAATGATGCCTATTGTGCCTGGAGAAGGGCCATTTGGATTAATCATTTGCCCATCTAGGGAGCTTGCACGACAGACATATGAAGTAATAGAAGAGTTCCTAGAGCCTTTAAGGGGGTTTGGGTACCCTGAGATAAGACCTCTATTATGCATTGGAGGAATTGACATGAAGTCCCAGCTAGATGTGGTGAAAAAAGGAGTTCATATTGTGGTTGCAACACCTGGAAGACTTAAAGATATGCTTGCTAAAAAGAAAATGAGCCTTGACAATTGCAGGTAACAATTCCTTGTTGCTTTTGTTGTAGGATTAGTGTGGCATGAATGATTTGGAAGCTATGCTACAGGATTTAATACATCAACTCTATAATTAGAAGTCTATCTTTGGCAAAACATATTTTATTCTTGGTATTTTTAAGACAATGCTTCCAGAGTAGTAGTTCTAGTCAATTGGATTTTTGTCTGTAATTTCTATCATTTAATTTCTATCATTTCTGTCTATAACTCCCCATCAGTTTAGAAGCATGTACCTTCGTTTGAATGTCTTGGGACATTGACATATTTTCACTTCATTCATTCTTCATGAGTTTGAAACTTCTCAATTCCCTAAATTGGCTTCAGTATGCCTTTTATTCTTCCTCCAAGTGCATGCACAGATCTTGTTAAACAAATGTTTATTATATCTTTGACTTCCCGTTGGTGTAGACATTCACTTGCTTACCGCCATGCTTGCCTTATGTGTAGATATTTAACACTAGATGAAGCGGACAGATTAGTTGACCTTGGTTTTGAAGACGACATCAGGGAAGTGTTTGATCATTTTAAAGCCCAAAGGCAAACTCTACTTTTTTCTGCCACAATGCCCACAAAGATCCAAAACTTTGCGAGAAGTGCTTTGGTTAAACCCATAACAGTGAATGTTGGAAGAGCTGGAGCAGCTAACTTAGATGTTATCCAAGAAGTAGAGTATGTGAAGCAGGAGGCTAAGCTGGTTTACCTTCTTCACTGTTTGCAGAAAACGCCTCCTCCTGTTTTAATATTTTGTGAGAACAAAGCTGATGTGGATGACATACACGAGTACCTGCTTTTGAAAGGAGTGGAAGCTGTTTCTATTCACGGAGGAAAGGACCAAGAAGAGAGGGAGTATGCCATTTCATCATTCAAAGCAGGAAAGAAGGATGTGTTGGTGGCAACTGATGTTGCCTCCAAAGGTCTGGATTTTCCTGATATTCAGCACGTGATAAACTACGATATGCCTGCTGAAATCGAGAACTACGTCCATAGGATCGGGCGAACAGGTAGGTGTGGCAAAACAGGAATTGCCACAACGTTCATAAACAAAACTCAGAGCCCAACAACCCTTCTTGATCTGAAACATCTCCTGCAAGAAGCCAAACAAAGGATTCCTCCTGTTCTCGCTGAACTTGAAACTCCAGGGGAGAATGATGATGCAATCACGAACGCAAGTGGGGTCAAAGGTTGTGCCTACTGTGGTGGTCTTGGTCATCGTATTGGTGATTGCCCCAAGCTTGAGCATCAAAAGAGCCAGCAAATCGCCAATCAAAGGCGAGATTACTTTGGATCTGGCGGATATCGAGGAGAAATTTGATTTTCTATTTTGTATTTTATTATATTTTGTTCGTTTAATTTGCTACTCATTTTAATTTAATCTTTTGTAGCACAGTTGTTATCTACACCTTTGCCCCTTGTACTTATGTACAGATGAGAAATATGAACTTTATGTATCAGTGTGATTGCTCTGTTTGGGCTTGTTTGTGAGGATATACTTCGTAATAGAGTTTATTTACTCAGCGTCTCAACACGGCCTGTTTGTATTAGAGTTTCCCTTTGTGAGCTGTGTCGAGAGCTAGGGAGCGTCGACATTGAGATGATTTTTTTTTGTTTCAAGAGAGTGTAGTAGGATTTATCAACCTTAGAGCATTCCAATGCTAATACGTTAACGATGCAAACGTGGCATGAGAGATAGCCAATCAAAAAATAATAATTAACATATATCTCTCTTTATATGAAGGATCTTATATCATTTTGGTAAGCTTTTGTTTACAATGTCTAGATGTAGATATTGTGGTTGACATTCCAGAGTAAAACTTATCAAAAGCACACAAGACTGTGAAAAGACAGAGAGACAAATGTCATAAGATCAATCTTTTGTGTCTATCTCTCTCATGCCACATGTGCACCGTGCACATTGTAGTATTGGAGATTATCTTAGACACCATAGATAGTCGTCTTTTTAAATGAAAACTAGTATGGTACCCGTGCGATGCACGAGACAATAATGTTATGGTGTATTTGTTTATAATGTTAAACATATTGAAATATGTATGTAGAATATATTTCTTAGAACAACAAAGAAACAAATGCATGTACTTCGTATGATATATATTAAAACGAAACAAATAAAAATTGTTAAACTACATGCATCTATAGACCAAAACCATTACAACGTTGAAGAAACTAAATATTTTGAAAAACTACAGGATATACAACAATATATGAATATGCTTTTACTTAAGAAAATAGGAGTAAAAGATAAAAATATACATGTAGGTGTGCACTTATTTTAATCATCAAAATTGTTCTATTTTGGGAAATTTTTAGTCTTATTGTTTTAGTAGGAGCAAATAAATATTTCTAACTTTTTTTTTATCAAAATATACTATACACATTAAATTTCATTCTAATTTTGCTTAGCCTTTGAGCATATTGACTTCATATATAGAACTATAAGAATGGATTTCAAATATAATTACGGACAGCTTCAAATTTCTTGTTAGTTCATTACAAATATCTATATAGTTTATTAGGTTTTTGTTTGTTCAATACTAATTTCCTTATTATTACTTTTATATTGTTTGTTCTCCTTTCCACTGTGTATTTGTATGAACTCAATCGAGTGTTGGTGAGTGGTGAAGACGCAGCTGCTAAACGAAGGCACAAAGCTTAAAGATTCATATACTGTGGTAAAATATCTTACATTCATTTTTATCTAATAGTTTGATTCTAATCAATTTCAAAAGGAAGATGATATAAATTGGGCGATGGTGCATAGTCAAGAGATATAAAACAATATTAACTTTAACTTTATAAGCAATTTAATTGGCAGAATCGGTTGCATATTTGCTCAGCTTTCTCTTTTGCATTTTTAGAAAGATCTTTAAGAATTTGTTAGTGATTCATGTATAGCTTTTACAACTTCCAACTTTCATTTTTTTCTAATTGGTTGACTACCAGAGTGGGTTATGGCCTTAACTTGATCTGTGAACTTAATGCAACTGCACTGAAGCTTAGTTGTGAACTACTTTGAGTTTTTGTTACAGGTTCGATGACTTTTATTAAAATAATAATCTGATTATAGTATCACCGACCCCGAGCATATCTACTTTTAGTAAATTATGTAATAAACCTTGAAGGATGATTTGAGAAATTGCGTGATTGTAAATTTTTATTATTTCTTTTACGTGAATAGTAAATTACATGTGGGGCCCACAGCGGGACCGGGGATCGCCCGATAATTCCCGAACCACATATTGTATTCATCTTGGTCTAGATGACATCTATATGGTGATAGACACTCTATTTGGGCCATAAGAAGGCATGGAGTTGACCAGTTGGTCAAATGGGGCCCAATTACCGGTATTGGTAATTTAGCGGATAACAGCCCGAAATGAGTTTCGGAGACTCCTAAATTAATGTTGGGGAATGTACATCTATTCTAAAGGCCCATAATTATTTGGAACGCGTAATATATTTTATTTGGTCCGATGAAATAAAATATGATTAAAACGGGCCGAAAAATGCAACTTTCGGGACCGATTGTGCACTTCTGGACAAAAAGGGGTGACCTCCCACACAAGTGGGGGCCAACCCACGAAATTTCCAAGATCTTGGAGGCTGGCATGAGCTAAATTGTGGCTGAAATCCATTGAAGGGATGGGGGAGACCATCTTGACACCTAAGGGACCCCTAACCTCACCCAATTGTCAACCAAGGACAAAAGTACCATCCTCCCTCCTCTCCCACTCATTGTACTCGTCCAGCACCAAGAAAGGAAGGCCAAGGAGCTCTGAAAACCTCACCTTCCATAGCCAACTCGAGCTCAAGCTCAAACAACAAAAAAGAAAGAGGTTTGGAGAAGAAGAAAGATAGGAAAAGTGTGAAGAATCAAGGTAATGACCTCATACTAACTTTTTCTCTACTTCTTAGCTACCCTAAGACTTATATATCATATTGAGGACCCCTAGTATTGTTCTTCATGTTTAGAAGTGTAGAACAAGGGGTTGGAAGGTAGTTCTAAGTCCAAGAACGGACTTAGAAGCCAAATGACCGGTTCGCCGGAAAATAACCTTTTAAGGGTTATTTTTGTTGATATGGGTTTTGTGATGATAAAACCTTGTTAGGAGCTTGACTAAAGTGTTCCTAACTTTCGCCGGAGTTTCGCCGGAGTCTCGTCGGAGTTTCGCCGGAGTTCACCGGAGTATTGCCGGAGTTCAACCTAGAAGGGTAGAGCTTCTTCAAGCAAATTCGAGGTGAGGATGGCTGACTATATTGCTTATAATTAGTCAGTTAATTTCATGAGATTTCCGAAGGTAATTAAATGTGCTTTTATGGATTATTAATGATTTATAATGCCTAAAAATGAAAAGACTAAATGTCTAAAGAAAAAGGAGCATGATATACAAATTTAAGAGTAAATTGTGTATGTTCATGTGTTATGAGTATGTTGACTTGAAAGTGGAATTTATTATGAAACATGTGTTGAAATATACTTTTTTTTCTTCATATTAGAATATATGAGTGATTAAAAGTGATATTTTGAATATTGAGATAAATGATATTTCCAAAGGAAAATGAGTTGGAATTGTCTATATGACTATGAGTTGAGAACTTGGTTTGTTGATATTAATTTGACTAGTACTAGGATACTAGTTGGACATAAAAATGAAATGTTGTTAAGATTGATCCTAAGGTTGGATTTTGAAATGTTATGTCTTAAGTAGTCTTAAGAGATGCATTAAGGTAGGAAAGTATGAACTTTAAATTATACTAGGGGTAGGCCTTAAGGGATACCCAAGATAATGTAAATATTAAATTGATCCTAGATATAGGATTGGCCTACGGGTGTGCTCGGTAGTCCTTGGGGATAGCCGGTTGAATTATGGAAATAAGTAAGGACCATGGCCCTTCCCGACTCTAGAGAGCGGGGTTGGATAGCATGGACTTACATCGTGATCACGGGTTAGGGTGGAATCCGAATCAGAGACCTAACTAGGTTCCGGTAGCGGTAACACATAAGATAGGACCCCGAAGGGCCTTACCTTCCTACGGGATGATGGGTATGAGTCCAGGGGCGGGATGTTGGAGTCCGAACCGGGAGCCTCATGAGGTCTCGGACAGCGGTAGCAAGTCCCGTAGAAATAATAGGACCCAAGGATTGGGTTGTGCAAATGATAAATGAAAAGGGATATATATAAGAAGGGCTGTGTGTCGACAAATAAATAAATTTACTTATTATAAAGATAATAAGTGGGAAATATAAATTATTATTTATATTGTGATATCATCCTATTTTGAGGGTCTTGGAAATTAAAACGTTGATTATACTTAGTATAGTTGCTATTGTACTTGTCAAATATTTCCAAGTACTGACCTCCCCTTCACGGGGGAGGCCACCTCACAGTTTCAGGTAGAACTTGAAGGTTGCTACCATTGCCCGTTGCTTCGGGAGGCTCAAGGGAAGAAGACGTGGTTCGTGCTTCTTCCGTTCTGTTTTAAAAACAATCACGTTAATGCTCATGGATACTATTTTCTTAATAATTACTTTGGGGGCTTGTATGCCTAGTTATGCCAAGTGTGGCTTGAACAATTGTATTAATGCTTCCGCTGTTTTAAATGCATGATTTACATTATGTTTGTTTATGGATGTACTATGTGTGAATGATATTCATGACGCCTTGTATAGTATGGATGAGTTGGACTGCGGTTGACTATTCGTACTGTACGGCAGGTTGTTGACGTGTCCGGCTAGGTCCGGGGCGTGACAATTTAATTGGTATCAGAGCCTTAGTCCGTAAACATCATAATGAAGCTTCAAAATTCTTTTTGAAAATGAAATTGAAAACCATGAGCATAAAGTTTTGTACTTATAGAACTTTTGGTACTTGAGTTGCAATGTCTCTAATTGTTAAGATGGTACCCTTAGCAATTGGCATGGCGGTGATTTGAGCCAAAGGATGTCTTTAAGTGCCTATCCGTCAATTGACATTTGATACGAGTCTAATGACTCATTCTAAATTTCTTTCAGAAATGGAACGTACCAGGAAAGTTACTCGACGGAACCCGACGGGCCAAGCACCGGGAGGGTCCCAACGTGGCAGTCGGGGAGGATCGAGGGTGTCTAGGAGACAAGGCCGTGCAGGCCACTCGGTGACCGTGAGTGACGGTCATGTGGAAACTATAGACGAGCACTATGAGTCCGAGGAGGATTCAACTTACCAGCCGGGAACCGAGCCGGTTGAGACCCCATATGATGGGGAATACGATGATGCTAGTGACGAGAGAGATGATAATGAAGCTCTCGAACGGATTGAGGAATTGCTCCGGCAATACCACCAAGATCGCCAAAGGCGCCGGGCAAGGCGTGCTTTGGAAGGGGCTTCAAGGAGAGGAAGCCACGTGACTCCCCGGGAGATCATAGAATCCCGAGGAGGGGGAGGTGCCGAGGTCCCTATAATAAGGATCTCAAAGTACCTCAAAGAGGCAAGAGACTTGGGATGTAAACCGTTTGATGGAACGGGGGACATCTCCGTGGCGGCCATGTGGATCAAAAGATTCAACGAGGCGGCCCTCGACATGCAACTACCACCCCACATGAAGCTGAGAGTAGCCACGAGGCTACTAGAAGGCATGGCGTCCACGTGGTGGGATGGAACAAAAGGGAAGTACGGCGAGGCCGTCACTTGGGTGAATTTCAGACAGGAGTTCTTCAGCCAATACTACTCCGACTTCGAGGTGAACTTGAAGAGGAGGGAGTACACGAATTTGACCCAAGGAGGTGAATGTACGGTGAAGGAACTTGAGCACAAATTCAGAAAGCTTGCTGAGTTCATACCGGAGTACATTTGTGATGAAAACCGGATGGTGAACCACTTCTGGGATGCCTTGGACCTTGACATACGCGAGAGGGCAACACAATTGCCTAATATGACGTTTAGTCAAGTGGTTGAATAAGGCTTGAAGGGGGAGAAAGAGTGGGAGGAAAGGAAACGAAGGAATGCCGAGGAGGCAAAGAAAAGAAAATGGGAGAACCATGGCCCTCAAGGTTCCAACAAGAAGGGGAACCACGGGGGAGGCGGATCCTTCAAAACCCCTGCACCACCGGTAAGGGGAAATCAAGGCCCGAGCGGGCAAAGCTCTGTGTCACAAGGCTCAGGCGTGAAGAAGTGCAGCAACTGCAAAAAGAACCACTATGGCAAGTGCCGCGATCCCCCGAGGTGTTATCAATGCGGGGAGGTCGGGCATTTGAAGGTGAGTTGCCCACAACTTGGGCGAGCCATGGGGGCCGGACCGAGTAGTGCAACGACGGTGAGCAGGAACCGAACCGGAGCACCAAATGCTAGCGGTGGGCACGGTGGGGCGAGTGCAAGCAACGCGCCATCCGTAAACCAAGGAAGGACCCAAGCTCGAGTCTATGCTATGACAGAGGCGGATGCTCGTGCCAACCCGGACTCCGTTGCGGGTAATTCCTTAAACTCACGTATTAGTCTATTATAAACAATAGGAGTGTGGGACTTGTAAATTTATAACCCCGACGAGTTTGGTCGGGTTTGAAGGGAAAAAAGGGAGGAGAATCCTCGCCCTGGGCGGATGCCGCCCGGCTTTCGTCTTGAATTATTGGGAATATTACCACGGCAACGAATGCCGGCCGGTTTCCACCGAGAACCGCCCCGCTTTCGTCAACATTAAATCAAAAACTTCTCGCAACCAAAAACCGGCCGGCTTTGGTAAAGACCGACCGACTTTCGTAAATGTTTGACCTGGAGTATTTCTCGCAGCTGAAAGCCGCCCGGCTTTCGTTAGGCCTGGGGATTCCTGCGCTGCTGAAACCCGGCCGTAGGGCTGAGCAAAAACCGACCCGACCCGAAAAACCCGATTTTTTTTCCGGGTTTTATCCGAATGGATATGGATATCCGATCCGACTATCCATATCCGAAAAATTATATGGGTTTGGGCGGGTACCGGGTTGCGGGTAGGGTTTATAAAACCCTAACCCGATCCGCCCGAAAAATCCGACATACCAAAACGGCGTCGTTTTGGATTTTATATATATACCTACGTATAACTTTTCTACCCGGCCTAACCCTATCCGCCTCTTCGATCTGTCTTCTACTCTTCGCTCTATCCTCTCTCTAACTCTCTTATGTCTGAACCCTTACTCTCCTCTCTCGGTCTTTGATTTCCTTCTTCAATTACTTCTATAGTTCTATACTTCTATTTGGTATTTTGGTGGAAGCTCTCACACAGAAAGGCACACAGTCTTGCTGATTCGCTGAAACCCTAATCGGTGGAAATCGTTCTTCGATCATTCCAAAGTTTGTAGTCTATTGCATTGTCTCTGACTCTGAGGTATTGATATCTACGGTTTTGTTGTGAATTTGTATTTGAATGTTTGATAAAATGAATGATTCTTGCTGAAACCCTATGATGATTGTATTTGAATCTATGATGTTGACGAGTGACTATGAATCTATGATGATGTTGATGTGTTCATGCTTAATAATATGTTGATGTCTCTAAGTTGTGGTGAAATATGAATCCTTGCTCCTCACTGACTAAGTATCCTATATATGAATTCGGAGTACTAAACTATATGATTATGCATATGTGAATGATGATGGAGCCTGAGGCTTGTTCTGAATTCTTAAAGTTGTATGCCTAATGTATGATTATGCATATGTAATGATGATGGACTGAGGCTTGTTCTGAATTCTTAAAGCTGTATGCCTATTGCCTAATATATGATTATGCATATGTGAATGATGATGGAGCCTGAGGCTTGTTCTGATTTCTTAAAGTTGTATGCCTAATGTATGATTATGCATATGTAATGATGATGGACTGAGGCTTGTTCTGAATTCTTAAAGTTGTATGCCTATTGCCTAATATATGATTATGCATATGTGAATGATGATGGAGCCTGAGGCTTGTTCTGAATTCTTAAAGTTGTATGCCTAATGTATGATTATGCATATGTAATGATGATGGACTGAGGCTTGTACTGAATTCTTAAAGCTGTATGCCTATTGTCCAATATATGATTATGCATATGTGAATGATGATGGAGCCTGACTACCTTGTGTTTCTGTATGCATATGAGAAAGATATATCATATATGAAAGGTAAACATTTGAAGCCTCTATTATGAGAAAAATGTGGAAGCTCAATGCCATAAGCCTAATCTACCTATGTGTATGCAATTGCTTATTTACTTATATAGATGGATGGTCAAGATAGTGTTACCATGCATGTATCTGGTGAACCTCCTCTAAGCCAGGAACCTGCAGTGGAAGCTCCCATTATAGAGAATAATGATACCACTCAACAGACTGATATTTGCACCCAGGTTTCTGGCCAAAAGAGGAAACAGGTTGCACCCAGGTCCAAAGTATGGGAACACTTTGACAAGATTTATGATGAAAAGGGAGTTCTTGTTAAAGGGAAATGCATATATTGTGCAAGATTATATGCTTGTCATTCAAAAAAACATGGCACCTCATCTATAAGAAATCACATGCTCAGTTGTCTGAAGAACACTCATTCTAAGGACACTAGGCAAGCCCTCTTAACCTTCCAATCAAGTCCTACTGAAGAACCTGCTGGGGTTTTAGGGACTTGGGTGTTTGACCAAACTGCAATTAGAAGAGCTCTTGCAGAAATGCTTATAATTGATGAGCTTCCTTTTAGGTTTGTTGATAGGCAGGGTTTTAAAAAGTTTATGTCCATAGCTTGCCCTAGATTTAAGATCCCTTCTAGGTGGACCATTGCAAGGGACATTTACCAAATCTACTTGGACGAGAAGATGAATTTGAAAAAGCTATTTAGGGAGACAACACAAAGGGTAAGTATTACTACTGACACATGGACCTCTGTACAGAGGATCAACTACATGTGTATTACTGCTCATTACATAGACCATCAGTGGAAGCTTCAGAAAAAGATCATTTCCTTTGTCCAGGTTACTTCTCACAAAGGGGAGTACATTGCTAAGGCTCTTGAGAACTGCCTTTTAGAGTGGGGGCTAAAAAACATCTTTACTGTTACTGTTGATAATGCAAGCAGTAATGATACAGCTGTAGGCTTCTTCAAGAAAAAACTATTATCTTGGGGGGCCTCTTCTGTTAAAGTCCAGTATCTTCACATGAGATGTATTGCCCACATTCTAAACTTGGCAGTTCAGGATGGTTTAAAACAAGCTGACACTTCTCTGTCTAGGGTTAAGGAAACAGTTAAGTATGTTAGGAATTCTCCTGCTAGGCTTCAAAAGTTTAAGGACATATCTGACTTAATTGGGGTGGAAGATAAATGTGGACTACACCTTGATGTTCCAACTAGGTGGAATTCTACATACCTAATGCTTAAGTCAGCTTTATGTAATGAAAAGGTTTTTGAAGCTTATGAGGAGAATGTAACCAGTTATGCAGTTGATTTGAGTGTTGACACTCCAGATACTATGGATTGGATTTCTTGTGAGTCTTTGGTCACAGTTCTTCAAAATTTTTATGATATGACACTCAGAATTTCAGGCTCTCTCTATGTTACTTCTAATACTTTCTTCTCAGAGGTGTCTGATCTGTTTATGGTCCTTCAGGACTTGATGAAGTCAGATAGACCTTCTACAAGTACCATTGGAAGTACTATGAAATCCAAACTTGATAAGTATTGGGGAGATCCTGAAAAGATGAACTATCTCATATTCTTTGCAAATGTTCTAGACCCTAGGGACAAGTTTGAATACATGCCCTTTCAGTTCAATGCTTTGTATACTCAAAAAAAGGGTGAGAACTTTTTTGCAAATATCAAACTTGATCTGGCTGAGTTATTTTCAGATTATGTGAGTAATTACACAGATAGTGTTGGTGGAAGCTCTGAATCAAACTCAACTCCTGCTGCTTTAGTAATCTGTGAGTCTGAGACTGCAAGACCAGTCTCTAAATTCAAAGCACAACTAAAAAAACAGAAACTTGAGAGTGGGCAACTAGGCTTGAAAAAAACTGAGTTGGAAATTTATTTGAGTGAGGCTATTGTTGAGGAAGATAAAGAGTTTGATATATTAAGATGGTGGAAATTAAATAGTCAAAGATTCCCTATAATCTCAAAAATGGCTAGAGATATTCAGTAGTACAAAAAACACATTCTATAACTAGCTTTTTATATGGGTTCATTTAAACCCCTTTTAAATTGTAGGCTCGGGGTCATATTTATAAATAATGAAAGTTTCGAATAACTTAATGGGTAATTTTTATAAATATAAAACTTTATCTATAACGGGTTTATAAATAACCGACATAGTTAACTAAAAACGGGGTTATTTTAATAATTTTCACAAATTTAAGTTTCAAATGGGGTCTTTTTTTATAATTTTGACTAATACTTTTCTATGTCAGGTGGTTGTTAACCCTTACGAAAAGGTTAATCCAAAATTAAAACCCTTAGTAACCGAAAAGCCAGGGCAAGATATACAACTCATCCTTAGCTTCTTCCACTTTTCCTGAAGAAAGTCGAAGAGGACGACGTTGCATTGCTGCTCTTCATTAACTCTCGCCCCCAAACACTCGACGGCGCTGCATTGCTGCTCTTCGTTTACTCTAGATGCGCCGCCGCTGCTCTTCATTCCACACTCTACACCGCACCGCTGCTTTTCATTAACAACCGTTGCCCCTGCTCTTCTTTAGCACCAGACGACGCACCGCTACTCTTCGTTAACACTCGACGGCTCAGCGCTACTCCTTGCTATCAGTCGACGACCTACCAATTCCTGAGGCTGATTCTGCTATGCATTAACCAACTTTCACATAGGTAATTTTTCATTACTTTTTATTTACATTATACACTGAATACTTTTATCAGTTATGCTTCAATTGTTGTATGGTTTTATTGATCTAGACGTTGCTTAAAAATTTCACAGAAAAGAAGATATGGAAGTCAATTTTACTCAATTATGTTTTAGTTTAGACTATGTCTATGATATGTTTGTGAAAATGCCCGAGTGAGATTTTGAATGGATGTTTCTTCATTGTATCATTCTTTTATTAATATGAAGAACAAGATGAGTTGGTCATTTTTCAAGTATGGTTTCTATGCTTGATCCATGCCTATGCACAGTTATAAAATTATATAAGAGTATAGCTTAATTTTTTTTGTAATGAACAACGTAGCAATCCTAAATCATATACTTCACTTTTAATTGTTGCTAGTCAGTTTAACTATATTTATCATAGGCAACTTGTTTATAACTCTTTTTGGCAACATTTTTATCCATTACATACAAAAGAGCTTTATGCTTGTTTGAACTACGTCTTATTGGGTACAAACAGTGTTCACAAACTTATATTTGGGGGTGGGGCCTGGGGGATAAACTCATAAATATCAATAAAAACATGTGGGAGATTCTTAAAATAAAAAATCTCATGCATGAAAAATGTCTTTTCCCAAATCATGTGCTTTTTTTTCTTCTTTAGAAGTGTTACATTAGAAGTAAAGAAAACTGAGTAGTGATATGATAAATATTTTTCTTCTGCATTATGATGGAATGTCTTTTCCCAAAATGTCTTTTCCCAAAACCAAACATGAAGACTCTTCTAGATTTGTGAGATATAACTCTAGCAATATTAAATCAGTTAATTTGTGCAGCCATTCAGTAGTTTATAGCATGACTGATTTTTGTACTGTCTCATTAGCGCTATGCAGGCACATCAATGAAACCTGAAAATAATTTCATTTTAGGGCCTGCAAATTACAACAGCTGTTTCTAGCTTTTTTTTTTTTTGAGTTTTTGTGATTTCTTATAGTTTATGTTCTCCAAAATGATCGTTACTTCTTGCAGGTACTATTTTCCGAGAGCCTATCCTTTGTAAAAACATTTCCAGACTTGTTCCTGGTAATGTTGTGTTGTTCTTGCTAAATGTAATTCACACATGATCTGACACCTATATCAGCTACACCCTAATGGCTTATCTCTTAAATCTGCAGGTTGGAACAAGCTCATTTGTATTGGCAGGCATGCCTTTGGTGATCAATACGGTGCCACTGATACCGTCATTTAAGGAGCAGGAAAGCTCAAAATGGTTTTTTGTGAGTTGATGATGTTTGATGTGACTCTGTATTACTTATATGTAAGTTTTTTTGAATATATCTACTTAAAACATTTTCGTCATTTATTGATTGTTGCCAGTTCCAGAAAATGGGGAAGTCCCGATTGAGCTCAATGTCTATGATTTCAAAGGCCCTGGGGTTGCCCTTGCTATGTACAATGTTGATCAGGTATGCAACTATTTTCTTGAACTTGTGTGTCAGACTGTCAGTGCTCATTCTTTTCTTGATCGACTGATTTTTCCTCTTATTCTTTTTCTCTTATTGGTGCAATTTGCTAGTCAATTCGTGCATTTTCGGAATCATCAATGTCAATGGCGTTTTCAAAGAAATGGTCCCTTTACTTGAGCACAAAAAATACAATTCTAAAGAAGTATGATGGAAGGCAACCAATGATTTCTTATTTTTACCTTACAATCTTGGTAAGTTTCTGTTTCTGGAAATGTATTAAAAAATATCACAGCATACTTCCTCGAGTTCATAACGAGTGCCATTGTGAAAGGAAATGTTCGTTTCACAATGTGTGTTGTTTTATAAAACCAAGAAAATAGGTTTTGATGTAATTTTCGCATTTTTACCCTTCTCCAAGACCCCTTTGCAAAATTTATTGGATAATGAAGAGTGAAGTTATTAGTTTTTCCATGTAGAACCTAGCAACTTCTTAATACACAAGATTTCTTCCAAATGTTACTTGCACTGAACTGGAGGGATTAGTATTTAATTATTTATACATCTCTTTTTGAACCAACCAACTTATATGAGCATTTGGTATTCAATTTGCTCCATGTTCAAGGGCATCTTTGAAGAGGTATATCAGGAGAAATGGAAGGCAAAGTTCGAGGAACATCACATGCTACAATATAAAATAATATTCTCAGTAGTATCATGTATTGATGTTCTGAATGATATGGCTGCTGGCATTAGGTATGAGCATTGGTTGATAGATGACATGGTAGCATATGCAGTAAAAGGTGACGGTGGCTATGTATGGGCCTACAAAAATTATGAGGGAGATGTGCAAAGTGATTTACTTGCACAAGGTGAAGTATTCTGATATGTGAATAGGATTAGAGTAATGCATTACCTATCAAACTATGACATACAAGCTTAAGTTTTTTTATCCATTACTGAATGTAGGTTTTGGTTCTCTGGGTCTTATGACTTCTGTTTTGGTTAGTCATATTTCACTATTTTTGTCATTTTCATCGTCATGGTATATATATATATCTAGTTTATGACTTTGGTTTTTGAAAAAGGCTGTCTTGGGTCTTATGACTTCTGTTTTTCAAAAATAGGCTTGCCAATGGTGAATTTATTGGAACTTTTCTGGAATTACCATTTGAAATAAGAAGACTAAAAGCATCTATATTGGCTGTTCTCTGCAGTTATCCTCTGATGGCAAGACTTTAGAATCTGAAGTGGCTCATGGAACTGTGACTAGTCACTTTAGACTGCATCAGAAGGGACAAGAAACCAGATTTGCAGGAAACAACAAAAAACAGAAGTCGTACATTTACAATTGTTCCCACAACTTTCTTGAACTTAAATGCTCGTATGTTTGCGAGAGATAAGATCATAATCCTCGATCTCAAGGCCCAAAATCCAGATTTTTAAGTTCAAGAAATCCATATTTTTATGTGTGTATTGTTTTTATATTTGTATAGCTATAATATTGACTTAATGCGTTTTTCATTTGTAGTGTCGAATGCAAAGTCGAAGTTATGAATGTGGTTACTATGTTATGAAACATATGAGTTCTATTATCTCTACTAATGTTTTTTATTCATGGATAGAGGTAATTATTACTTATGTTTCATTATTTTATTTTTTTGTATTTCTTTTTATTTTATTTTATACTAATATAATGTTTTTCATCTTGTATAGGTATTCAATGTTCAAGATCCATTTAAAGAAGAAGATATCAATGAGATTCGAGAAGATTGGGCAGCATTTTTCTGTGAAACTACTAGCATTTAGTATTTATTTAATTAGATTTAGATGATACTATTTTGGCACGTTTGAAAGTGATATGCAATATTTTGTTGGTGTATCAACGATAATTTGAAACTATACTATGGTTAATATGCAATATTTTAATTTGATATATGGTTTGTGAGTGGTGTTGTTTATTTATTGATATAGTAGTGGATGAACATTATAAAATTTTCATGCTGGGGTACAATAAATTGATATTGGGGTATATCAGGGTATCAGTTTGCATTATAATTAAAAGACGTTCCATATGGGGTATAAGGAACTGATGTTGATTACTTTTTAACCCATATTAAAAGGATTTTATATGGGGTATTACTGGACTGACATGGAAAACATTCGATAACGGTTAAATTCGTAACCGTTATAAAAAACATTCTATAAGGGGTACGAATACCCGACACGAAAAGAATCCGACTTTCTATATCGCTGGCTACTATGTCGTTACGGGAACCGACATAAAAAGTGTTTTTTAACCCATATAGAAAGTGTTTTCTACACTAGTGATTCTTGTTGTTCCCATCTCCACAGTTGCTTCTGAATCCACTTTCAGTACTAGTGGCCGGGTTTTAGATTGCTTTAGAAGTTCATTGACTCCTAAAATAGTGGAAGCTTTGATTTGTTGTCAAGATTGGTTGAGAAAACAAAACCAACCTCTGTCAATTGGAAAATATTGATGAACTTGAGAAGCTGGAAACAGGTTATTTTATTTTTTACATGTGCTTGATGTATATTTATTTTCAGTATGCCTTAAAAGATGTGTTTATGTTTTCCAGATTTAATAAATGGGACATGTGCTGCTACTGAAAATGCTTCTGGATCTTCTGTGGATCCTTCACCAGTTAACTTAATGGTTTACTTATTTATTACAAGTTCATTGTCTCCTCATATAGTGGAAGCTTTGACATGTTGTCAACATTGTTTCTATTGCTCATTTATGATTTACCAAGGTGACTAACAATAGGTGTTGGAAGTGTTGGTGTTGGATGTCTTCCACTGCCCACAACCCTTATTCAATTTCCGGTGCTATTCATTTGCCCCTTTGTTTTTCCTGACAACTTAACTGCTTCTTCTGTTCTTCATTTGCCCCGTTTTGGTTATGATGAAAGCTTCCACCATATACTGAAATAAGATTGGGTTGGTATTAGGAGTAGTTGGTGGTAATTTGGATTTGGCCTCCAATGTATCTTTACATAATGAGATGGCTTGAAACCTACCACCATCTACTTTGGATGCCCCCAATTAGTTTTGAAATGACAAGAAGCAATCTGAACCAATATGTAATAACTCTGTGCATTGTGATTTGTGATTATGCATTTATTCATTGATGATATGTCATATGTGCAGGCTTAAAGTTGAGAAGACTTGGTTTTGCAGTATTTGATATGCTTTGTAAACTATGGTGCAGTGGTGCTGGCCTGCTGGGTTTGCAATAGCCAATATGGCCTAATTTATATTTTTTGATAACTGTCTAAATACTTGGTTATTTTGGTGCTGGGTTTGTAATTTAAATACTTATTTAGTTTATGCTTGGATTGCTAAGTAATTTAGTTGGTTGTAATTTCCAATTTAGTTGCTTGGATTGTCTAATTTACTTTGACAGTTCATATTAATGAACTAATGATGCAATTTCAATGTGTTTTAACTATAACCGAACTAACCGATATCCGAACCGATATCCGAAATTATCCGACTTTCTAATATCTGAAAAAACCGATATCCAAACAACGCGGGTTGGGTTCAAGAATCACATTACAAAATCCGAACAGGTTTGATGCCCGCAGACCCGACCCGCCCGAACCCGACCCGTGCTCTCCCCTACCCGGCCGGGTTTCGTAGAAACCGGCCGGCTTCGAAACCCATTCCCCGAATAAAACTACGGCGACGAAAATCGGCCGGCTTTCGTGAAAGCCGCCCGGCTTTCGTGATTCATGTACAAGGAATTGTTCTCGCAGACGAAACCCGGCCAGCTTTCGTGAAAAGCGGCCGGCTTTCACCTGGATTGGTCCTAAAACGGTCCTAAAGGTTAGAAACCGGGAAATTTCGGAAGGGTATCGAACGGACTCCACCCGAAACACAACCAACATACTCTACGACTCAAGAAACGAGCCTATTAATTAGATAGTGTGTCTTACATTACTTATAAATGTAGGAACACTAAAGATAAACGGGAGAGACGCAAGGATCCTTATTGATACCGGGGCGCAACGATCATTTGTGAGTGAGGCGTTCGCCAGCGGATTCAACGGACCACTTGTACCGATGACTCAAACCCTATTGGTATCCACGCCTCTAGGGGATGATATCGAAAGAGATAGCCACTATCCATCGTGTGAGGTGGAGGTGGAGGGACAGAACTTGACGTGTGACTTCGTACCGCTGAGCATGATCGAGTTCAACGCGATCCTTGGGATGGATTGGATAGAGAAGCATCATGCTAGGGTTGATTGTTATACGAAGGTTCTTGAACTCGAAAGCGGTGAAGGTTTGACCTTACGTTTCGAGGGAGATAGAGGCAAATCAAACAGTTGTATCATATCCGCCGTGAGAGCGAAGAATATGATGAGAAAAGGATGCCACGCATATCTAGCTTATGTGGTGGACAAAACCAAAGAAGAGGTAGACATCAACGATGTGAGAGTTGTGTGCAAGTATCCGGATGTCTTCCCAAAAGACTCGCCGGGACTTCCACCCGATAGGGAGATTGAGTTCGTGATCGAGGTCGAACCCGGCACCAAACCAATCTCTATACCGCCATACAGAATGGCACCCGCTGAACTTAACGAGTTGAAAACCCAATTGCAAGAGCTATTGAACAACGGTTTCATAAGGCCGAGTCACTCTCCGTGGGGAGCACCGGTCCTTTTCGTGAAAAAGAAAGATGGAACGCTTCGAATGTGCATCGACTATCGTCAACTGAACAAGGTCACAATCAAGAATAGGTATCCCTTGCCTAGGATTGATGACTTTTTTGATCAGCTCCGAGGAGCGACGGTGTTTTCGAAGATCGACTTGAGGTCGGGGTACCACCAACTGAAGATAAAAGAGGATGACATACCGAAGAGTGCATTCCGCACAAGGTATGGTCATTTCGAGTTCCTAGTTATGTCGTTCGGGCTAACCAACGCCCCAACGACATTTATGGACTTGATGAACCGGGTATTTCATAAATACTTGGACCGGTTTGTGATTGTGTTCATAGATGATATATTGATTTACTCGAAGAGTGAAGAAGAGCATGAGGAGCACTTGATACTTGTTCTTGAGACACTACGGGAGAAGCAACTCTATGCCAAGTTTTCCAAATGTGAATTTTGGCTAAGGGAGATTGGCTTTCTCGGGCATGTGGTTTCAGGATCAGGGATTGCCGTAGATAACAAGAAGATTGAGGCCATTACTGATTGGGAGAGGCCAAAGAGCGTCAAGGAAATTCGTAGCTTCCTTGGATTGGCAGGGTACTACCGAAAATTTGTGGAGAAGTTCTCAGTTTTGGCATCACCATTGACAAAGCTCACTCGAAAGGGGGCCAAGTTTGTATGGGATGACCGATGTGAGAAGGGATTCCTTGAACTGAAGAAGAGATTGACCGAGGCACCGGTACTCGCACTATCCAAACAGGGTGTGGGGTACGATGTCTACAGCGACGCAAGCATCCAAGGGCTTGGATGTGTCTTGATGCAGAATGGGAGGGTGATTGCCTATGCTTCACGACAGTTGAAGAAGCATGAGGTAAATTATCCCACTCATGACTTAGAGCTGGGGGCGGTGGTGTTCGCATTGAAGATTTGGAGACATTATCTCTACGGGGAAACATGTCATATATACACCGACCACAAAAGCCTGAAGTACGTGTTTACTCAGAAAGAGTTAAACATGAGACAGAGAAGGTGGATGGAGTTGATAAAAGACTACCACCTAGTTATCGAGTACCACCCCGGTAAAGCCAACGTGGTAGCGGATGCCTTGAGCCGAAAGAATTCATCTGGGGCATTATTGACTAGCTTGAGGGCATTGAGAGCCCAATTGGAGGTATCTAGCGATTGTGCCTTGTTAGCTAGATTCGAGGTGAGACCTACAATACTTGATGAAATCAAGAACGGTCAAGAAACCGACGAAGAACTTATGAAGATCCGTGAACGTATGCTGGCGGGACCGGTTGAGGACTTCAGGGAGAGAGACGATGGTCTCTTATTATTTCGTGACCGAGTATGTGTACCGTTGGATGCTGAGCTCCGAAAGTCCATCTTAGAGGAGACTCATTCATCGGCGTATGCCATGCACCCGGGAGGCACGAAGATTGTACCGTGATTTGAAGGAGAGTTACTGGTGGTCGGGCATGAAGAGAGAAATAGCCGAGTACATCAGTAGGTGTCTTACTTGTCAGCAAGTTAAGGCAGAACATCAGCATCCGGCTGGGTTACTATAGCCACTTTCCATTCCTGAATGGAAGTGGGAGCACGTGACTATGGATTTCGTGGTGGGGTTGCCACGAACGGTTAAGAACTATGATGTCGTATGGGTTGTGGTCGATAGGCTCACGAAGAGTGCACACTTTCTACCTATCAACACTACCTATGCACTGGAGAGGTTAGCCAAGTTGTATGTGGACGAGATCGTGAGGCTACATGGGGTTCCTATAACCATCGTATCTGATAGAGATCCGCGATTCACATCACGATTTTGGCCGAAGTTCCAAGAATCTATGGGGACCAAACTGAAATTCAGTACAGCTTTTCATCCACAAACGGATGGGCAATCCGAGCGGGTTATACAGATATTAGAGGATATGCTGAGGGCTTGTGCATTGGAGTTCCAAGGGAGTTTGGACAACCATTTGGCACTTGTGGAGTTTGCCTATAACAACAGTTATCAGGCGAGTATAGGCATGCCTCCATACGAGGCATTGTATGGGAGGAGATGTCGTACACCGTTGTGTTGGGATGAGGTTGGCATGG